AAGGATCCAAGAAATGCTGGTGAAAAGCTGGGTCCCAGCTGATTATACTTAATACATATCAGATATCATTTAGGACAGAACCTTAAAAATAAGGATTCCTAATTTTCTCAAAGATCTTAAGATGGTTCTGAGATCCATCTAAGAAAGGATATGCAGGCCAATAACTACATTTGGAAAGGTATTCAACATGGTTAATTCTTGGAAAATGCAACTTAAAATACAAAATACCAGTATATACCTAGTTAAATAAAATAAGATAATTCTAACACCAAATACTAGTAAAAAAAAAAAAATGCATTCCTCAAACACTGCTGGGAAAATACAAAATAATACAGACAGTATAGAAAATTGCAGTTTCATACCTAATTAAGCAGGCATTTATCATAACACATGTGGTTGTTTATATCACAGAAACCTGTAGTCATTCAGAAACTTGAACACTCATAGAATATACTCATAGTTCATAGAGGCTTTATTGTTAAGAGTAAAGTGCTAAAGAAAACCAAAGTGGCCATCAATGGGTGAATGGCTAAAATCTCTTCTAAATCTATATATACCACCAAAAGGGGAAAAACAGAAGGAACTACTATTGGTACCAGAGAAAATACAACAATATGGATAGCTCTAAAGGGCATTTTGTTTAGAGAGAAAGGTCAATCCAAAAGAGTACATGCAGTATAGATTATTACTCTCATATAATATTTTACTATTCATGTTGCTTTTAATAATGTATAACTACATGCATATATAAGGAACTATATGATATTTTGATGTCTGAAATATAGATTCATAAAAGTAAGCTAATTAACATCTCAAAAACCTTGCTTACTTACCACTTCTACAGGGAAACATTTAGCATTCTCCCTTTTTTATGAAAATATACACTATTATTGCTTATAATCATGCAGATGTGCCACAGACCTCAAATCTGTTTCTCCTGTGGACCAGAAAAAGTCCCTCTGATCAACAACCTCCCATTCCCTTCATGGCTAAGCCTCACTCTCTACTGGACATCATTCTACTCTCCAGTTCTACTTTCACTTTCTGGGCAACAAACGGGAAAAGAAACAAGAGGATGGCAACAAACTAAAACCCACAAAAAATGAAGCAATTAAAAAAGTGCATAGAAAGCTGTAAAATAGAACGAAGTATTTTTCTTATTAAAATGGTTCTAGATCTGAATCGTGGTGATGGTTGCATGAATCTATACATGGGATAAAACTACACCTATGTGTACACTTACAAATGGTATTAAGTACTTAACACTATCAAATAGTGGAAACTAAAGTCTGTAGTTTAGATAATTGCAGTACATAAGAATCAATTTCCTAGACCACAGGTGTACTTCACTGGTAAAGTGTTTACTAAATGCTCAAATGCTGAATGTGCTGATCCTCAGTAACTGTAAGAAATACCAAACACGAGTTCCTCCTATTGAATACTATAAAACTTGTGTTTAGGACAGAGAGTTAAAATCTTATTTCCCTCTTCTTTTAAGAGTTTCATGCAAATGTTTTAACCTTCCTTACTTAGTAAAAACTTGTTTGCATGAAGGCCACTGCTCTATTACGGGAATCTGATGGCCTGGAGTAGTGCCCCTTTTCTTCTTGAAGCATGGATTTCTTCCCCTTCCTCCTTCACTTTCTGTGCATCAGTCCTTTTCAGACTAGCCAAGTGAATAGATTGTAAGGTTAGACTACATGGGGGAAGGAAACAGTCATCATCTTCCTTAGAATAAAAACCAAGTGCAATTCCTGTCTCAGTGTGTTTGCGCTTCCAGTGATACCCTCTTGATCAAGGATACAGTTTGCCTTGTCCAGACAAAATTCAGTGAAAGACTCTTTTTTTGTGATATCAAAGATATTTCCATCAATACTGCTAAGACTAAAAATATCAATTTCCTAGGTCTCATATTATAGTATAGATTACGTGACACCACCATTACTGGAAGCTTGGAACATGTTACATTCATAGAACTCTGATTTCTTTCTTTTCCTGAAATTTATTATAATTACTTCAAACTAATATCTAAAAATAAACCAGTCCTAAGTATGAGAACTGGAACCTATGTCTGCCCAACTCTAAACCAACTCTGGTTGGTTTAGACTCTAGTTCCCTGCCAACTAACGTGATGCCTTCACAGCATCTCTAATTAGAGCACACACATCAACTTCCTAGAAGGAAGACTAAAGAGAAGCTTGTCTCAGGTAGCATTTAAGCAAGTTTAATGAATTTCAATAAATACTAAATTAAGAAGTTTAAAATATTGAAGCCTTCTGTTCAGAACTATAAAGATCAGTTGTTTCAAGATATTAATGTGGTCACAAAAGAACATTGGAGGTCTAGTAGAAAGTAATGACGGGTAGCTCTGCCACCTTGACTGGAAGGCCTGCCTCTCCAGAGGTGGCTCTGGAGTGTTCTGTCATGTTTCCTTATACACCAGAAAACTAACAGCTGTGCCTCTCTCTTCATACCAGGCCAACAAGCTGCACAGCAGAGAGCTATAAATAGAGCTGTTACCTGTACATTTGATATTTTTTCCCATCCACCTAGGAACTACCTGAGGAGCAAGCCCTTGTGAACACAGCCAAATTACAATCATCACAGCCAGAGAGCTAGAAGGGAGCAAAGTTAATTCTTATCTTCAGATTAATTCATCATAATCATGTGCACTATGAAACATCTATGAGAATCCTACATATATAGAGAAAGGCAAGATAAAATGAATAAGAGAAAAATTAATGAGTTAGCATGTGTTTTCTGATTAACAATGTCAATGAAAATTATCCAATAAATATTTTTATTTATTTATTGGACAAATGATTTTAAAACCAGAGCCAAATCACTTCACTGTATCATGTCCTCGGTGCAGAATATGTTATCAGAGGTATGATAAATTTGACTGCATAAAGTCAATTTAACATACATACAGTTTGAATATTTCTTATAAGCACAAAGTCAAGCCATTGCTTATGTGGTGGAACAACAAATAAAAAGGGTACCATTATGTGCTTTGCGGGAAAGAACAAAAGTACACACTTAACAGAGCCCAAGAAAAGACATTGTCACTATCAAGTAAACAAGGGAAAGTCAATGTTAACAGGAAGAAAAGGCAGCAACTAGAATACTGGTAGCAAACTAGAATGCTGGTAGTACTTTTGTAAAAACTTTTAAATCCTTCAACTAATAAAATAAATAAATATATTATATAAATAAACTTTTAAATCTTAAATATTTTAGAATTAAAGTTCTTACATCTGTGAAAATTCCAGCATAATAAATCATTGATCATTTGCTAACCACAGGGATCTCTAACTAAAACTCTATACCAGAGTGTTCATGAGACACTTTCTAAGGCCATGACTTCTTCATAGGTCCCACAGACTAGAGGAAACCAACTTGAAACTGAGGGCCACCAAAAACAAACAGACGGACAAACAAACAAGCAGTCTATGTATAAGGAAGATCTGAGTCTTTAAGGTGACAGAAGGACAAAAATCAAACCAAAAGAAGACAGCCAGATTGGATAGAGATAAAAAATTTATACTCCTTTTTGATAGGAAATGACATCTCAAAAGGTGACAGAAGCATCCCAGGAGAAAGGAAGCAAAGAGTCATTAGAAGAAAAAGAAAACTGATTATGACAGAGCTAGTACTTTACAGAGCAACTGACACCCAAATCTCAAGGAAGAACAAGCTCAGTAGACTTCCAGCCTTCTTGCTAGCCCCCAAGGACTCTCCCATGCGTGGAATAAGCATCTTCCAGTCCTTACTCTGTTCCCCTCCAAGGCACTTTCCTACTACACTATGTGAGTTAACTCATCAACTGAGACAGCACTTATCTGAACGCTGCACTCTTGGAAAACTATGGCAGTCAGGATACCCTGCCCATTCTTTCATGTTCTGAGACACAGCTAACAGTAAATCAGCATTCTCCTACTTGGCTTACAGAAAACTCACAAGTGATCATTTTGTAGCTTCTGCTGAGTTCAGACACAGGCAGTCTAAATTTTTATTCTGTTGTCTCATACCCGAACTTCCTGTCTCCATTTCTTTTTCTGGTTGGTTAAGGCTGGATACTCAACTCCCCCAAACTTAAGTGCATCTTCTCTCCTGGTTCTAAACTCCTGTATTTTGAGTCACCATGATTAATGAAAAAGCACCACTCTCTAATAGCTCCTTCAAGCAACCACCTGTCTAATGCCACCTTTCAGTTCCCCACAGCCACTCCTTTATGTATGTGTTCAGTTCTTCCTGTAAAAGAAAAGTCCTCCTGTTCTTGATCTTTTGGATATGTAAAGAAATTCTCTTCAGCTCTCCAGGTCCACCATCCTCTTCCCTTAAGCTTAAGGAGCCCCTGAGATTAAAGGCTGAGTTTACTTAAGTCTACACCTACTTTTATTTGACACTTTTAACCTACAAAGGTGGGTTACCGTTCTAAAACACAAATCATAATTTCCTTTTATTAATATTTATATTTATAGAATCACAACTACTACATCTTTTTATATATAGCTTCACAAGAAAATATATAGGAAACAAGGGCAATGTAAAAGCATGCTGTCATATCTCCTTCAATAGTCAAAGAAGGAAATTAAACATTAAAATATGCCAGGAAAATAGCAGTTTATAATAAAATAAAAACTTACAAACAAGTGAGATTTTGAAATCAGAGAAATAATTTCTCCACATTTTCCATTTGCCTGACATAATCTAACTGTATCTTTAAAACTTAAACAAAAGAAAAGCCTGCTGAACTGCTACTTCTCATTACACAAGCCTGAAACCAGTAATCATTTAGCTACTAAAACTCTTTCTGAAGAACTTTTTACAACAGTTTGTTACTCCTCCTGTACTCCAATGCTTTTAATTAGATACATAAAATAAATCCTCAATACTTTCAGTCACAAAGAAAAATATTTCTATACCAAAGCAGTTTAGAAAATGCTTTAAGATTGTAAAGGCACAGCAAAGAAAACCCAGCAACATGAACCACTCACCCGCATTGACAATTGCATCCACCTCTAGCAGAGTGATGTCACCTCTGTAGAGAGAAACCTTTTCACTCAAGCTTTTCTTCATCTGTGGTGCTTCCTGAGTATTTTCTTCTGTAATAAAAAGAGATATTTATTAATAAAAATATCCCTAATTTAATCAATAACTTCCTGTGCATACTCATCTGTGGGGAGATGCATTAGTGTGCCATGGGGCAAGTGTGGAGGTCACAGGACCACCTTAGCTATCTATCCTCATCTTCAACCTTGTTTTGAAACAGGGTCCCCTGCCACTGCATGTGAAGCTAACTGAACCACAGCTTCTGCATATTCTCTTGTCTCTGCTTCCATATTCCCAAAGGGCACTGGGCTTACAGGCACTCAAACACATCTGATTATTTATGTGGGTTCTGGGTATTCAGATTCAGGTCCTCATGTTACAAAAGGAAGAGTTTTTACTCACTGAGCCATTTCTCCAGTACTAACCAACTGTTTTCTAATCAGGACAACTATAAGAGCCAATATGAGCCACTGGATTACAAAAGAATATTTCAAATATATTTAAGTACCAGGGTTGTGGTTTAGTCACTCTTTATATTCTATTTTCAATATAAATGCACTGTCTATGCCAGTGGTCAGTTAGGTGTTTTTAGTAACTTTCAACAATATCCTTAGCCATTAAAAACTAATACTTATCAATTTTTTATGATAATATCAGATGAAGATAAAATTGTATTCGATTATATTCATAAGGAAAAGAGATGTGCATATACAGAGAGAAAACACATTACACAGTGAAGGGAATTATTTCTATTTTTTCCCACTTATTTAAAAGAATCTTTCAAATGTATTTGCTTGACCATTTAGTTTCAACTCTGCTCTGTCCAAAAAGATGTCCCATCCTTAGAAGATCTAAACTGTGAAAGTGCTCTTTGCTTTACCACACTGCATTTACCCTTTCACTTTGCAGGACAATGCTACTGAAGAAGAAATTTTAAGTTAATATAGAAGAAAGCCTTATACAAATAGTTAAAAATACAGGTCGGCTAACTTGCTAACCCAAGGCCGTCATAAAAGATGCAGAGCTAGAGAAACAAAGGTCAATTGAGTGTTCCGGGAATTGGCCGGCTGTAAGAGATAGAGAAGATGCTCAAGGATAAATTCCTTGAGAAAGAGAACAATATTGAAACACCCATCTGTTCCCGTGATGTTTGACTTAGCCTCCTCTGGAAAAACTCCCACCAAAGGTCCCAAGGACTTGTGAATTAAATTCAGCCAGATGGTCTGTTGGCTCAGATAAACATCCTCACTGGGTCCCAAGGCCACAGGAGCCAGGGACTGTTCCCGTGAGATTAGTCAAACCTCTGCCCGGGATCTGCTTACACACATTACAGATATTTGAAACAACCAATTGTGTGTGACTGCGCCACAACCTCCTTCCTCCCCCCCCCCACCTCTGCCCCCAGCCTTTGCCTATATTAATCCTAAGCTTTTAGGCCTCAGGGTCGATTCCTCTACCTCCTGTGTGAGGCACATATCACCCCGGAGCTCTAATAATATACCTGACTCATGTGATTGCAGCAAGACGGTCTCTGGAGTATCTTTGAGTCCGAGTCCTCTCAGTGACCCGAGTGAGGGTCACCCTTCGGGGTCTTTCAGCTACTATGCAAGAGAAATAGCTCTGTCCAACACACAAAGCCAGTAAGCTGTTCTAAAACCTGACACACAATTGAGAGAAATACTAATTTCAATTGTCATCCATTCTAAGACAGAGTCAACCTACTTAACAAAGAAATACAAATAGATGTTTTAAAATACACAAAGACTATATATGAAGAAAGTTATTATATTTTTAAAACATTTATAAAGTCTAATATAAGTGTTTATGAAATATGAACATTTTTAGGGTGAACTATAAAGCTATCTACTCACTAAAACACTCTTAGATGAGCAAGCAATTTTACAGTATTTGAGAGATAAGAAGTGATAGCTTTTGAAGTACCTTAACCATCTGAATTGTCTTTGGGAGCTGTCCTAGTTTGGTTTCTCTCTAGCCCCAAGAAGAAAAATTTTTATTTCCACATACACTTACAGTCTACCATCAGGAAAGGTCAGATCAGGAAATCAAAGCAGGAAGGAACATCGGTGGTAAAACAGAGACAATTGGGGAATACTCAGGCTACTTTCTCTGGCTTCCTTAGCTACTTTTCTTAAACAGCCTAGGCTCTCTGCCTAGGAGTAGCACTACTCACAGTGGTCTGGGCCCTCCCACATTAATCATCAATCAAGAAAATAACCCCAAAGACATGTCCATAGGTCAATTCAGTTGAGATTCCTAACACAGCAGAGCTGTGAGTTCCATATCCCATAAGTCACTGCTCTTAGGACTTTTAACATTTTAAAATCCTGATTCTCAGTTAAAGTTTACTAGACGACAATAAATATTTTATGGCTTTTGCAGACAATTCTTAAGCACCTGGATCAATGAAAATCTGTAAATTACAAAAGGCTCCTCACTGAAGCCAGGTGTCAGAAGGTGTTAAATGAACAAGGACTTCACAAAGAAAAAATGTATTTGTTTTGGGGAGGTGACACAATAGGCATAACCTATTCTCTATCTGTCAAAAATAGGGCTATAAAGTTAAGCCCCTATTTCCTCATGGAGTGTTTTATATGCACTACTGCAGTGATACTATTAAGTAGCTAAATATTGGCAGGATTTCAGGACACTGAGGCTGACTGAACCCCTCCCGGATATGAAAATGTCCCTCAGGTAAAAGTTGTCTATTCTAGATACTTTAAAAGCTAAATACTTGAAATTGAAAAAAAACTATATAAAATCTGCCTAAAATAAAACCCTAGCAGAATAAATCCTTTAGAGACTGTCATGTTTGCCACTTAGAGTATACACTGCTCAACAATGCTATCTTGGACAACTGTCCACTCTCATGCCTTGAGAAGATGCACTGCTTTGAAGTGGCCTCTTAGACAATATCCAGCCTCAGCCCTTGAGTTATGCCATCTTCTCCACTACAGCGTCTCTTCTAAATTACTTTAATGGAGATTTCAAGAACCAGGAAGCTGAGAATGGAACAAAGACCCCATAGTGATGTCTTTTAAACACTTATTAACACTTCCTGATAAGCTGGAGGCTAGACTATTCCTGTTTGAGCCAGTGAAGGAAATGGGTAAAATAAGAAAATACACTCAATACCAACAGAGAAAGAGGGGGAGCTTCAAATATCTACAATGGAAGTAAAAGTATACCTGAAAAGTGCATAGGAAAAAAAAACAAAAACAAACAAACAAACAAAACAGAAGTCAAAGAAAAGCCAAACACAGTTATAGCTCACAGCTCCCTGGTCAGGGATGTCCTAAAAAGTAAGCCAGGTTAGAGACAGCCAGAATGAGCCCACAACTCTTAAAAGCCTCTAACCTAATTTGGATTTTGGCAAGACCATCAAAAAGAAGATGGATGGTGGAGAAAAATCCATGTTTGTCAGTCAAAATGACTCAGAGAGCACTAGCTAGATAGTATTTTGAGAGAGAATCCATTTTTAAATTCTGGGATAACCTGGGATCATGAGATCAAGGAACAACCATGGTTTGGGAGCCTCAATTTGTCCTACCACAGAGGCGTATGTCTAGAGAGGCAGCTGTAGAAGACAATAACAAGTTGAAGGCTACAAGAGGGCAGGAGATTGAGCCAAGGCAGATAAATACATGGCCGACCCCCAACCTCAGTGGCTCAGAGAGCTTACCCACTGAGAACACTGGAGTTTCACAGCTCTGAGCCTGAGGTCAGAGAGTGGACCAGCCGCTGAGTAATCTACCTTGTCCTTCACATTTTCTCAATATTAATCCAACCAGTCAGTGAGGATGGGAGGTCATTCCATTTAATAGTATCTCTTTTCAATTTATTTAGAGTGTTTTAAGGTTTTTCAGCAAAGGTTTTTCACTTCACTTCACTGGTTAGGTTTGTTTGTTTGTTTGTTTGTTTGTTTGTTTGTTTTGATTGGTTGTTTTTGCTTGGTTTTGTTTTAGGCTGTTACAAATTGGATTGTTTCCATGATTTTTTTCCTTCAGTATACTTGTCTTTGGTATACTGGAAAGCTATGTTTTTTGTATTTTAATTTTGTTGCCTAACACTGCTGAAAATGTTTGAAAGCTCTGGGAAATTTTCTAATGGATTCTCTAGGAGAGGGTCTCTCATGAATTCTTTGACTTCTACCTTTCCTATTTGTATCTGGTTTATTTTCTTCCTGGTGTTCTAGGTAAGACTTCAAGTACTATACTGAATAAGGATGGAGGAATAAGCATCTTGTTACTGACGTTAGAGGACTGTTCTGAGTTTCTCCATTGTGCACGATGACTGCCATCAGTTTGTCACTTACAGATTTTACTACGTGGACTTATAGTCTTCCATTTCTAGTCTCTCTGGGACTTTTATTATGAAGGAATATTAGAGTTTGTGAAAAACCTTTTCTTCATCTGTAGAAATGATCATGTGATTTCTTTCTTTGAGTTCACTTATATAATAAATCATATTTATTGATGTCCATATGTTGAACCATAATTGTATATCTAGAATGAAGCCAATTTGATCAGGTGTTTTGATCTGTTCTTGCAGTTAACTTGTAAGTACGACATTAAAACTTTGCATGTATGTTGACCAGCCAATAATTTTGTTGTGGTGTTAGTGGTAGTAGTGGTCATGATGGTGGTAGTTGTTGTTGTGTTTAAATGTAAGAATAATGTTAGTTTCTTAAAAAGTTGGAAATGTTCTTTCCTTCTCTATTTCTATGGAGTGATTTGCTAAGTATTAATATTGGCATTGCTTTAAAGGCCTGATAGATGGCCCCTCCTTCAGTTTCTGTCCCATGCTTTGTCTCCATATTTGCTCCCATGAGTATTTTGTTACTCCTTCTAAGAAGGGCCAAAGCACCCACACTTTGGTCTTCCTTCTTCATGAGCTTTATGTGGTCTGTAGTTGTATCTTGGATATTGCAAGCTTTTGGGCTAATATCCAATTATCAGTGAGTGCATACCATGTGTGTTCTTTTGTGATTGGATTACCTCACTCTGGATGATATTTTCTAGTTCCATCCATTTGC